TGCATTATACAGCGGCATAATGTGCACCTCTGCACGAGTATTTTATTACCTTCATGAATAAAAGGCGTGATATTATGTATGTATCAATAGTTCATTTAAGTGATCAATTTCAATAAAACTCTGTGTCTCTCTTCTAACCACTTCATGACCGACAAGACTCTTTCAGTAAATGTTGAAGTGTTTGGGTAATCGACAATACCAACATATTTACAGTAAATTGTAGACTTTTTTATTCTTATTATGGGTGTTTGCATATTATTACCGACTGTCACTATCTTATATCTTATACTATTATACCTCTATAAAGCGGAAGAGTTTGTTTTTTTGTTTGTTTCAACGCGCTAATCTCCGTAACTACAGGTCTGATTTGAATAATTATTTTTGTGTTGGATAGTGCATTTATTGAGGGTGAATATGGGCTATAAAACATCACGTTACGATAAATAGGAGCTGAGCAGAGCGTGTGAAACCGCGCGGAAGTAGCTAAGTATACAGTGTAAAAAGTATTTTAGCATACTCTATTAGTGTTACAGATTATAGAGTACGCCTACATGATATAGATGTCAATACTCTATTTTAAAGTACGGTTGGCAACTCTAGAACCTAACGGGTAACCGGGGCTCCGGCTCGACGTGCAGGAGTAGGAACGGGGTGGTTTTTAGTCAGTAAGACTCTGATACTCCCTCCCGCCTCACCTAGGCGGTAGCAGTCATTCGATGATTTTGCCCCTTAAAAAAAAGGGCTCCGTAACGTTAACCGTCATTCGATTTTACACGGCACGTTGGACTAATATTGTAGGCAAAATACTGAACTGTTATCAGCCATTTCTGTAATCAAAGGCTTATCAAAAATGAATCAGATTAATCAGAGAATATTCAAAACAAATAAAAAACGGAAACCAGACGGATTCCTCTTTTGTTAGTCAAATCTCTACTGATAAAATTAATAAATATACGTACCTGTATCATAAAAATAAAACTTTCCTTAAAACTCGCGTCGATAGAGTTCAAAATCAGTTGACAGATTTTAAACATGAAACTTCTATTCGTGTCTTAAGTCAATGACGTTAGAGTTCAAAATCGTTTGTAGTAAATTAGCACAACTGTTATCTACAATTGAAATTGAACCTTATGAGTTGTGTCGTTAAGATTCAATATGGCGTATTTTTTGCATGACGTAGGTATATTGTTATCAAACATGACAATGAAGGTCGCGTGTTAGTCTTAATTGAATACACGTTTTGATATAGATGGGTATTTAGTTTTAGATTTTTTTAGACTGTTATGAAGTCTTTAGTGGTTCGATTACCAAGATTAATAGCAACAAATGTTGATGTTTCAAAAATGTACTGGAAGGGGTTTCGAGTTCGATTTTAAAGGTCGGACAAGAAATCCAAAATTCCAATCTAAAATCTTAGTATTCCGCGCGCGCCTCAAAGAGCCATCAGACCACCATGGATAGGGCCCAATAGGGCTAATGCCGATTTGGAGTCGCGGAGAACCTAACGGGTTACCGGGGCTCCGGCTCGAAGTGCAGGAGAAGGAACGGGATGATTTTTAGTCAGTAAGAGTCTGACACTCCCTCCCGTCTCACCCAGGCGGTCATTCGATGATTTCCCCCCTTAAAAAAATACCCAGGTTAAGTAACCCTTAAGTGACCCCGAGTACGTGTCGGTTAGACCTTAGACCAAACGATTTTTATTGACTTCAGCGGCCAATGAAATAAGACTGCAGTAATTTTTTTGGCTAAAATAAAGTCGAAAAATAAATCTTTGATAATTTTTCGTCAATATTAGAGGTATTTTACTCGTGCGTCATTGACAGTTGTGAATTCGCCTTGACGTGACGTGGCGTGACGAATTTATTATAACTTTACACGCAAACGCTAATCGCTGAAACAAATCATGAAAACAGAAATTGGTATTAACTTTTGAGAAATCAACCGTAGTGAGTAATGCTCATTGC